GAGAGAGAGAGAGAGAGAGAGAGAGAGAGAGAGAGAGAAGAGGCCGATGATGCTATAGGACTTGGCACATGCATAAGAGTCTTTCCTTCAGTAGCAGCAAGCAGTGCCTGAGTTGAATCAATGTGGAGCGCCACCACCCACTGTAGATGTAAAACTCCTGCTTCTGTAATTTTAAAACACAAAAAGAACCCCCAAATCTGATAGCTTTTATCCACTATCTTGACAGCAAAGCTCTAGTGACCTGGACTAAAGCTGAAAATTATCTTGGCTCAGCTTACCTGGCATGAGAGGCTGTACCTTTCTGTACAGAAACTGACACCTACAGGGATGGCCTCCACTGAGCTGGTAACCCTGAATCACACATGCAATCATATCCACGTTGCCTTTGACAATTCAAACCTTTCGGATCCTAGCACACCTCTTCCAGGGATAAGGTAGGGGACTGTGGATCCACAGCAAGCAGCCCAGTCAGGGCCTGGGACGGAATGCATTAACCCTTTGATCCAGTGTCCTCCTTTGACCCATGGGTGTAAACTCATGGGAAGGAAGAAAACAAAGTTCTTCTATTTCTCTCCCTCACTGGTAGAAAACATGTGGAATGGTTTTGAGCACTAGCTCCAAAGGGGCTGGCTGCTGGCTGGTTACAGGGCAAGAAGACATACTTGCCTTTGACTCCATTGGTTCTCGGCCAGGCACAGAATCGAGGCACATGACTGAACTGATGTACTCCCTGACCTTCTGGGAATCATGAGCTGACCCAGCATTGAGGCTTCTATCTTAACTTCACTCAGCATTGTGTGGTGGTTTTGATGGGGTAGATCATTCTGGGGTGGGCAATGGAAGTACTGTGCAATGCAGGGTGTTAGAGAGCATCCTGCTTCTACCTCGTCAATGCCAGAGAAACGTCCTGTAATTCCTCCAATAATTCTGACAGTCAAGCTTGTTCTGAGATGGCTGTGTTCCCTGGAGAACACAGTCCCTCTCATTAGGGACTGCTATTCTCAATCTATTTGATTTGAATACAAAAGGTGCTTAGGATTATGTTTTTAAGCATCATTTAGTGATTTGTCCCAACCTGTTGTTTCATGTATGCTAGCATTTCTTCTAGGTTCTGCCCCACAGTTATCTGGCAACAGCCAGGTATGCCTGACTCACCATAAAAGGGGCTGCTTACCCCCTCCTCTCTCTCTTACTCTCTTGCTCTCTTACCCTCTTCCTCCTCTGTCTCTTTTCTTCCCATCCTCCTTCCCCCTCTGTTCATAGCCAGCTTCTACTCTCTTTCTCTCCCTCTCTCTCCACCTTTGTTTGCCTTTCTCTGTCTCTACTACTCCCCTCAACTCCCTTTATCACGCCCTAAATAAACTCTATTCTATACTCTACCCTTCATGTAGCTGGCACCTCAG